AAGCTGACATACAAAAAAAAAAACTTTAGAAAATGAATAACACTCATTTATTCATGTAGAATCACAGATGACTACAGTAATCAAATAAGCAAATGAAACCAGACCCATGTTTGCATACAGCACGTGCCTCCGCTTCTTGTTTCAATCAGAAAAACAGACACCCCGATTAGACCAGCGAACACTATGCTGGCAGTGTTGAGGACAGCCAATATAGACTTTATGCAGGACAGTTTAAGCGAATCAGCAGCTCCATAAATAGACAGTCAGGTGAGGAGGAGGGCAGGGGTGCTGACACAAGCACACTGCTTACCATATGTCATCTAAGTGATAAAACCATTTCTAGGTTTGCCAAAAATGACAGCGAACACGTCCAAGTAAGTCGCACACGTGCTCTTCCTGTTTTCGTCAGACTGAGAGTCTGCATGAATTGTTTTGCTGTTAAGGAGTACATTTAAAAGCATGGAAAATTAACATTTTCCTTGATGAATATGAATATTGTGCGTTAAATCCTATCTTTTCCAGTTCTCAATGCACAAAGAATTGAGGTGAATATGGTAAATTCCTAGAAGTCCCTTTGCAAAATGTCTTCAACATTGGTAACTTGTTGACAAAAAAAAAAACACGTTCATGCTTGTCAATGTTGAAATACGGACAGATTTAATTCCACATGGAAAGAATAACAAGCAGCAGCTCATGCTTCTGAAAACGTCTTTCAGGTTTTTAGGTATGCATAATGAACTGCAGACAAGAAACTACAAAAGGTCAAAGTATGTGGACAAGTCACAATGATGCATCTCCTGCGATAATCAACCTTCTGCACCTCTGGTTTATTTTCAGCAGGATATTGTGCTCATTTTGGCTCATTTCCTACAGAGATTGGGAGAAATTGGATTAATTTGTTGTAATTCACCCTAATTACTTGTTTACGTGCTTCTGGACCAAAATCAGTTCTAACTGGCACGAGGCAGAAGCACTGATACAAGAAAATCAGGAGCTAGTTGTCTTTCAAATATTAAAAAATCTATTTTCATTTTGGGCTCAGTAACATAGCGTACGTGAGAAACGGTGCCTTTTCTTTCTTTTAAAACCAGCAGTCTTAAGAAAGATTTAGACAAAGCAAATGTTTGGGGTTGTATTTAATTGGATGTCTTGGACATTTAAATCTGCACCCAAAACAAAGCCTCCTTTCAGCGTGTCTTGCTTTAAAGCACAGTAAATCAGCTTGTTATTTACATAAGACGTAGATTATTATCAGAGGACGTTTTTTTTTATTCTCGAAATTTCATATATGTCAAGACTTGAATTTTGTCCAATTTAGTAACATTCTGAAACATTTGAGTATAAAACGTTTTACCATTATAGGTTTAGATTTTCTGAATGATGCAGAACTCATGGCATAGAAGGAATGAAGCACCAAATTAAGGCATTATCTTTCATTGAACATGTTAGGATAAATCTGTAGGCAATATAAAACATGCTCAATTACAATGTTTTTGCATGAAATAATTCTCGCATAGAGATTTCACTTTGATCAGTTCTGTCTATTTTGAGCTCCTTTCAAAACTGATCTGTTTTAGGACCTCTTGTCACTTTAAATCCAAATAAGTTCCTGCTTTCCACGCCCCCTGAGACAATGTTTATGCTTGCACTTTATAAACTTGAAAATGGCTGCACTCAGCTGAATATCTTTGACCCTAAGATCCAAAGCCAAATGAAGTGGCTTGTTCTGTATACCCAACAAGAATGCAGCAAGTGTTTTTTGGATGGTAAGTCAACAACAAAGTACTTGTCTTGTCCAGCAGCCATTGTACTCTAGGTAATTGGCGTGAAGCTGCTAGGTAAAATGGGAAGTGACAGCTTATTGTGACTTAATAATTGGAAGGTTTTTGAAAAGGCTCATTTTCCAGGCACCAAAAAACACTCTACTTATTTGCTAGAAAACAGCTGGGTTTTTTCAAGTGTCAGTTTTATTTCAGGGTGGGTTTTTTCCAGAGAAACAGGCATGCATCCTTTTAATATTAAAAATCTAATCTAAATAAATAAACACTGAAACATATTTTTAAATTCAAGTTTCCTTTTCCGATATAAATAAGAGACTCGGACAATCAATTCAAATTCCACAATTTTCTGGACTACGTTGGAAACTGCATTTTAGTTGCAAGAAGATTTGCTTTGGACTTCTAAAGCTTGCATTTTCTAAATTACAACACATTTTAAAATGTGTTCAGTCATGCTGTGCAGTGGGTGTGGCCCTCATGAGTTCTTCAGCTGAAAACGCACACTTATTCTTTAGAATCTGATGACTAACGCTTGTTGTATGGTGAGTGAATGGTACACAGGAATAACCCTAAGGCACTACTTTAATAAATAAAGTGCCATCTACAAGTACACGTCCCTGTTTTGTGGAAACCATTATGTCAAACAACAAACCTATTGTTTAATCAAAAGCAAATCCCCTTGATTCAACAGAAACTTAAGAATTTAGCTATTTATTTATTTCCATTTTATTGGAAACTCTAAAAAAATGCCTCTAAGTACATGATTTCAATTGACCCACTGACACATTAATAATACTCTCAGTTCTTACACTTATTCCGTTTGATGATACATATATTTTTTTAAGCAAAATTGGGCGATTTGATCTGCGACTGACTGGTGAATCTCTAGAAAGAATAGCATATGTTACTGGTTTGCTGATGGTCCACAAATATTTTTGTCCATCATCTTCTGGGAACTTGTTTTTATTTTCTGTTTTAATCATTATTGTTCAGAATGTAATCTAGTGGTAAAAACATGTTTTGACTATCTTCTGCTGCTGTGGGTTGCTGTGGCTTTTCTACAAACACATTTGGCCATGTGTTATCAGAGGCTTAGCAGGCTTCCAGATAGATGCTGTGCGGTTGATGTTGTCATGAGACTGCTGCAGAGACAGCAAAAAAACGTGAAAGCAGAGTGTGCAAAGAGAAAAAACAAAGAAACTTTCTTTGACTTTGACTCTGACTGTTTCCTCAATCCATGTCTGACGGACAGTCTAGGAGAATTAAATCAACTTTTGTTCTTAGTCCTCATTGAAGACTATAAATCTGCATAATGGGCTTAGTTTAGGAAGATAACCAAGTATAGTCACTATTCTTTTTTTCTCACACTTGCAGAAATTTAGCACCTTCAAACTAGAGCTGCATTATATTCATCCACGTTTCTCAGACAAAACCCCCCACAGAAGCTCAATCTCTACCAAGCAGAAAGCAGTCTTAAATCAAATCATAGCTGGCATGCCAATGTTTCCCACAGTGGTTGCCAAGTTCTTAACATACGTTAGCCTCTGTAAACTGCTCACTCATAAAATTTGCATTGTGAAAATTTATCTTTAATGAACCCCATCTTATTGTTACAATGAAACAACCCCAAAAATATGCTACAGTCCAAAAATCTTACATGTGTTTATGCTTTGAAAGCATTTAGAATGTAAGAAATATCTAAATAATCTAATTATTTCATATGGGAAAAAAAAAAGAATAAAAAGTTTTTCAAAGATCTGGTTATTTTAGGATTGACTATTTCAAATCCCATAACACTCTCTTGGAATCCTTGAAAATTTTATAATTCACTTGTACCATTACTCCCTCTCAAATTCCTAATAAAAATACTGAAATTTATGTGTAGCTCTCTGCTCTGCATACTTTCTGGCTTACAAAGAAATATTGCTGTTTTGTGAACAGTGCATAAAAGTAAGTCACTCGTCAAAACTATGGAAGCTCCTAAGAATTTCCATGATGTTTTTTCCCCCCCCATACATTGCAGCTTAGTCATTTATGAGGTTGGGGGCTCAATGGGAAGGGTAATCGTCTTGCAGTTGGAAAGTTGCAGGTTTAATTGGTGAGAAAATTAAATGACAAGAAAAGTGCTATGCAAATCCATCTATGGATTTTTAAAGCATATGAGTCACCTTTCAACCAGTCAAGAAGTAAAAAAAAAATACAAATACAAAATAAAAATAAAAAAACATCAAGAGATGTACCTGAGATAATTGTATGGCAACATTCCTGTGTAATATTTTGGCTTGATTTTAAAGCTTCATTCCATTCTCAGGACATCACACCTGTAAGTCTAACTTCAGAACTTGAGCTCTCTTTTGCTACAGGGATTAGGTTCTCAGGAGAGATTATTCTGTACAAAATGCCATTATCTAAGACAAATAAGCTTCAGTGTTCAGCGTAACCCTTGAATTATTATTATTATTATTTTTAATTTACACTCTAACCACAAACTTCAAAATATGTTGCTGGGATTTTGGGTGAAAGATCAACACAGACTAATCAAAAAGTTTGTTTTGTTTGTTTGTAAAAAAAAAAAAAAAAAAACAATGTGCCAGTTATACACGCCCCCCCTTTACTCTGATACCTCTAAATAAAACCCACTGTTTTCAAATTCTGTTTTGTCTCAGTGTAAACCCAGAAGGTGGAAAAGTTTAAGTGGGGACAGGTTATAAAACAAACTGTCCAGGCTTTGACCATTTCACAAAACTCTGTTTAGTACATTGTCTGTCAATATGAACTGAAACCTACCAGGGATGAGCTCTGCTTTGTGTTCTGTCACATAAAATCCCAAAAATGCTCATTTAAATGTGAGAAAATGGGAAAGTTCAAAGGGTGTGAATGCTTTCGCATCGTGGTGTATTTGACCTGTGCTTTCACAAGAGTCTGACACGACAAAAAAAAGGGAAGAAAGAAACAGAAAAAGAAAAAAGAAAGAATAAAGCTACTTCAGCTCGTCCCAGTTGAGACCTATTCCCCAATGCATGTTACTTTTACTCTCAGTTTCTAATGCAATAAAATAATCACTTAATATTTAACCACAATTCAGTGCAACTCACCGCCGGCGGCACTTTGCGCAGTATTTGTTTTGGGGGGGGGGTTGTTGTTTTGTTTTGTCTCTTGGAGTCAGAAAACTTCTTCTTTAAATTAGTAGGAGAAAATAATAAGTAACTAAGCAGAACTTACCCTGAACAGCCTTAACCAGAACTCGAGCTATCCATGAGGGAGCGACTTCTTCGCTCTCGAAGTTCTTCTGAATCACAACGTGGAGCAAAACGCACCGCAGTGAGGGAGAAGCAGGTCTATTGTCTGTCTTTCTCTCCCGGACCTGCCGACCTGCCTGCCTGCCTGCTGCACTTCGCGCGCTGTTGATTTTGCACCGCAACGTGAAGCGGCGCGCGCGCGTTTCTCTCCTAGGGTTACGACACACCGCGGTTCAACAAGCACGCGGACAGACAGTCTCTGAACTTCAACATGGCCCCAGAGCAGAGCTGGTACTTTCAAGACGCCTTTAGAGATGTTCCCTTGTTTGACTGGTTCACGGGCTTTCTGCGGGTCAACGGATTTGTTCCGCCCTCCCCCGAACCATTCATCGAACAGACCGAGTAACCAGGAACGTACTGAAGTGGGGGGTGATTGGTGCCGGACCCCCTTCCATCTAGACTTGTAATTCATACTATTCTAAGGCCTGATAAATGCAGCTATAACAGCAGAGGGTGGAAAATGAGGTGGAAACACAATGAGCTTCACAAGACTGCAACAGGCAGTTAATGAAAGACCAGAGCACAGCCCAGACCATTTCAGATAAAACATACAGCCATACAGGATGTGACCAAACTGAGTTTGCTTGTTTTTTTTCTTATCTTGCCTGATCTGATCTGCTACCTCTCCCTGGTTAGTTAATATTCCAGACTGGACAGAGGAAATAACCCAGAGACGCATTGACATTATCTTTCATTTAATGCAGCATGCACAGGAGCAGAAAAAGTAATGATGTGCAGATAGTAAAAAAAATGAATTTCCTGCATCTCTTTAACATCAGCATGTTGCATATCATTACTAATGAAGGGATTCAGCACATATAGCAACGTTGCACTAAGGAACTTTGTATGAATATTTATAGTGGAGCTCATTCATGATACTAGAAGTTATGGCACTAGGTCAAAGGTCACATGTGGCTCTTCAGGCTATCTAAAGTGGCTCCCAATAACTTAATTATTTCTGATTTTAATATGCATTCAATAAATTTCCATACAATATATGACAGTAACTGTACAATAATCCTTTTTTTATTAGTTGTCCACTCACTAAATGGCTTATTTTCTGTATTTATAACAGTGAATGGAACCATTCAGGAAAATGCATCAATTTTCTCTTTGTAAAAGGTCAATATTTCTTCTTTGTTCTGAAATCCAGTTATAGAAGTAAAAAAAAAAAAAAAAAGTCAACTGCCTCTATTTTTATAATTTCTTGTTTTTAATTTCAGTTTTATGTCATAATTTTATAACTTTTGAGTTGTGTTTCTTTTCAATTTTTCTTGTTAAACATTGGTCTTTTTTGTAGCCCATAATTACTCCAACATTGTGACTAGGATTTCCTGGAACAAAACATTATTTATAAGTGAGTCTTTATGAGTTCAGCCAAAGACGATCTGAAGTAGAAGTTGTGCTGCGTCACCAATTCATCAACCATGTGCAGGATGAATGTAAAGTTTGGTTGGTGTTACTACATCTTATGACGTTACAGGAATTGTCAGCAGTTGTGAAAAACACCACGATGAAGCATCTTATTTGTTTTGGCTGTCAAATTACTTAGTTTGATCTTTTCCAACGCGTGTCTGTCATGGTTTTATGTCTGTCTGTATTCAACCTCTGTAAAGCAGCTTGTGTTACGCTTGGCTGTGTGAAAAATGGTCGGTAATTAAAGCTCGACTGACATCAGAATACTGTCTGTTAAAAAAAAAAACACCAGGAAAGTTTTTTCCAAATTAGGACATCTGCTGCATTGTGCTGGAAGTTAATTAACTCTCCCCTCACTTACTGATTGTATTCAGTTAGGGTTAGGGTTAGATTGCACCGTTAAATATACTGAAAACGAGATCCTTCTATCTGCTCTTTAGATTCTTGAAATACAGGTGCAGCATCTTGTTAAATGTGATGATCATTGAGGAGTGAAAACATAACAACTAAAAGTTGTTAATTAACAACTCTTCAATTGTTAATTAATGATAATTGAGTAACTCAGTGTTCTTAGTGCCTTTGTCCACAGTCCTCCAGGAACCTGGTCATAACCAGGTCTATTCCTTTTTATTTGTCCTTTAGAGCATAGTCACTCATTATTGCCAAACTTGTCAGCAGCTAAATCTGGAGTCGCCGCTTTTAGATTTAATTTCTGACTCGGTAAGTGTGAAACTGATTTCGCACGCAAGAAGAGCGGGCTTCGACTTTCCACAGCAGTATGATTATGAAGACAGACGATTTCCTCTCTTTGTCCGTCACTCTTTAAATGTCAGTGTATCGAGCTGCTGCAAAGCTGCTTATTGGTCTCTATTGACTCTATAGATTAAATTACAGCTTCCTAACTCACAGTGTGTGCCTGTATGTGTGTAGAGAGAGCTTGGGAAGCCAGTGGAGTGGATGATTCCCATCTTCCCAAGAGGCTGCCTGCAGTGACGTATCAGTAATCAGAGTGCGCTTGTTAGTGTAAGAACCCAGGATATAAAAAGATGGGGTCGTTTTGATGACTAACATTCCACCAAACTATTATCTTCGGAGCAATTTTCTGTAGCTGTAGAGTGAAAGTTACCACTTCGTTGGGTGAGACTGCTTTCCAACAATGGAGTATCTTCGCTTTCCTTCAGACCCACGTTGCTACAGATATCCTGACCATGTGCCACCCATGTAGTCACAGCATTGATAGTGTAGTGTCCTACTTATTCAATTCTTTTAGGAAAGGTCTTTTAGGATAAAGGCCTTTGCTGGAGCAAGATTTTTATTTTGAATATATTTGATTACAAACAGGAATCATCAAGGTACAGGTGTTTCAGGATCTTGTTATGATTGAATAATCTTGAACTGTTTGGATGCCTTTTTACACACGTCACTATGTTCTGTAAATACGATCTTATTTTCAGCATTTCTGAATGACACAACAGTTTGCCTGTGACTAGTTCCAACTTTAAAAAGTGAGTGATGTGTTACACTTTGGAACGTAGGCTTTATTTACCACATCTTGAAAACCACAATCACGTGAGAGGCTCCTTCAGTCAGGGACGAAGCATTTTTCAACAAGGACACCTTGTGTTTGTTCCATTCTTCTTTGGGGAGTTCAAACAATGCAGGAGGAAAACTTTTTTTTAAAGTTAGCAATTCCATCTCTGATTGGCTGACTGGTCCTGGAGACATGTCCTCTCCTCCATGGCTCAGCTGCCAGAGGACACCTGGGTTTTGAGGAATGGACTCAGACACAAGAAGAATTAGAACCAAAGGACTAATCACCATGTCAGGATTAACTATTTCACTGCATTGTTCATTTTAACTCCCGCAAGATTCTTGTATTAATTTTCAACTGGAGTGACTGCAGATCTACCTCCACCAGCAATTTTTCTTATTATTCTTTTAATAATTTGTTTTTTAATTTCAAAGAGAGGAGACGTCGAGATACTAAGAAGGTCCGGTGGAGAGAGCACTGCAGCTTACCTTTTTCTGAATGACCTCTGGGCTGACGGTGTCACTTTAAAGCTGCTCAAGGTCCTGCAAGGGGCGGTGGAACTCCAGAGCAGAAATGAAACTTGGTTCAGAAAGAAAAAAAACAAAAGGTCTCTTCTGACCCACGTAAGGCCCTCTTCCCAGTTCTATCTCTTCTTTTTAGAAATCACAATCCTGTTGAAAAAACCCTTTTTTTGGTAGAGATAGAGAGAGACCTGTGCAATTATTTGGATATTTCTTAAACATTCATTTCTAATTCAGAAAACCTTTCCTCTAAGTAATAGTTTATAGAGTCAATGTCTTATCTTGTGTGTCTCTGTTTACTTAAATTAGTAATGTGATTACTAGTGCTTACAAAATTTCCTTATTTGTGCACAAGAATGAACATTTAGAGGTCAAAACAAGTTTGATGATGAAACATTAGTCATGTTGGAATTGAAAGGGTACTTTTGAAAGAAGTCTGTCTTTTTGATCCTTCAGCACCACAACCTCAGTCACGTTAGGCCCAACCCAGAGTTTGAGCCATTTCAAAAAAATTATTAAGGGTAGGAAAAGAAAAAAAAAACCTGCTAATGCAATGCTGTGCACTACAGGAAGTAAACGGCTTCAAATCTTTCACAAACTTTTCACTTTTCCTACTAAGGTTTTCATTGAAAGAGGCTTTTTCTATAAATAAATTACCAACACGACCAAACTTTGATTTTATAAAGAAAAAAACTTTTAAAATAGGTGTAATGAGCACTATTTGAGCGAGATCTTCAGGCTCACTGTAAAGATTATGATACTGTTTGCTCAACGCAAAAGCAGCTAAATACCTGCCATTAGAAGACTACCTCCAAAGGATTCTGGTTTTTCCAGATTGTCCACTGGAGTCACATCTGCATAAAGCGCAGAGAAGCCTGATTATGTTTAATTGTTTCTGTGTAAAGTTTGCAGAACTCTTAAAAGAACCGAAGCAGGATGTTTAAACCTTTTGACTGAATGTTCAAAGGATAATCTAAAACTCTCCGCTTTAATGAGATGGGCTTAATCCATTTTATTTCATGCCGACTAGTTTTTAACTTGTTACTGCACGTTCGGTAGTTGTACACAAACTACAAGTTCACACAGACGAGTATGATAGAAGTAAAAAAAAAAAAAAAAAAATGGAAGAAAGGACACATGGAAGATGGAAAGAATGAAACAAGAAAAAAAAAAGAATGGCAAAGGAAGGAGATGAGGAACGAGCCCAGACAAGAGTAGAAGCAACAAAAGAACAGAACAAACAAAAGAAAGGAAAGAAGATATGGGCAGAAAGGGAAAGTAGAACATAAAAATCTTCAAACATAATGGGGAGTAAAGTTTGAAAATACAAAAACCTCTCTCCAATTTCCTTTTTCTATTCTCATCCAGACCTTAAAAATGCCTAAATTTTTCCAGACTACTTGTGAAATCTGAAAAGTTTTGCCTTCTCTTTTTACACACTACTGGACCTACAGCCTCCTTTAACTTTGTGTTTCGTGCACAAAAACGTTGGATCAGTGTGTAACATGCAAATCTTTCAGAGAAATGGCTGATATTGCTTAAGTTAATCGGATGTCTGCGGATAGAACAGGAGAAGTGAAAGTGAAGTGTTCCTCTCCACTTGGTTTCCTTTCACCACAAGGGAAATAACAGATCCATGTTCAACAGCAGAGAACGTACAACGGCATATTTCCCTCTGCAATTTTAGATTTTATCACAATTTTACATTTAGAGTTGACAAACATGCGACAACAGCTTTAAAAAAAAAAAAAATCTCGAGAGACAGTTTTCCTTTTATAGGAAAATTTTAATAGTTATTCAATGTTCTACATTTTACAGTAAATATACAATTACAAACTTGGCTTAGTTATAGTACTAAGATCACTAACTGATCTTAAAAAACAAAACAAAAAAAAAAAACCCTCAACAACAACAAAAATACATTTAAAAATAAAAAATAAAATAAAATTAAACAGATTTACACTTCATATCACAAGCCTGACGCTGGTCCTTCACTCCGGACCAAATAGCTAACATACAATTCACTTCTCTCAACGCTGAACAGACGTTGGGCTTCAGTTTCAAACACAAACCTTACGGTAACAGAGATACCATAGCATGTGCAAACTGGGTACCAAACTAAAAACTTCCAAAGATGGGGTTGTTCCTATTACTCGATCTGAGCGCAATACGAGGACACGCGTTTTATCTTTTTTCCTTTTTTTTTTTTTTCTTTTGGAAGACAAGGAATTTTCCACTTTTTGCATCACATTTAGTGTCAAATCAAAACCAAGAGAAACCTCTGACAAAACTGAGAAATAAGAAGCTGCAGCAAGAACATCAAGGACAATTAAAGGTCTACTATTCGTTTTGATAGTAGTGTTGTAATTTATACCCATGAAAAACTAAGACTCCAACTGCAAGGCAGAAAAAGAAAAAAAAAAAGGGAGAGAATAGGTGAAGGGAAATGGATGCAGTGGGCAATGAATGCTTCTGGTCATGTTTTCACTGTCAAAGTGGAAAAAGGTTAGACAGTTTTTTTTTTTGTTGACCTTTTAAAGGTCTGGAAATGTTACAGCGGACAGGATGATTTACGGAAAGAGGAAGAGATAATCAAAGAGTCGTGTTTAAGACAACTTTGCACACGTTCCCCCTCACAGAACACGCCAAAAATGCCCAACCTCTGACTTTCCACTTCAGTGCAAATTGAAAAATAACGAGGCGAGGAATGGAGCGAACTAAATAGGTAGGCACATGTTTGCTTTCCCTGTCAAACAGGAACACTTGGAAGAAAAGTTGTCCTGTTTCTCAGCTCTGCAGATCTGCCTCTGTGGTGTTGGCACCGTGCATCCACTGGTAATTGGATGTTCTCATCAAAAACCGACAATGATAAAAACTAAAAGCACAGTCATTATATTTTCCTTAAATATTAGATAGAAAAATAGGTTTTCTTTTTGTGGTTAAAAAAGAAAATGAGTAGAAATTATTTTTTTTACCATTGATATTTAGGATAAAATTGCTGTACTGGCAAAAAGGAAATGAAAAGATTACTGAATATTCCTACACAGAAACCATATTCTGAGACTAAGCAACACAATTTTGATGAGTTCAAGTGAGAAAAATTAAACTGTTAACAAAAAAAAAAAAAAAAAATCAAGTCAGATTTTTAAATGGGATGGATGGTAGATCAGTGTGGAGAAAAAAAAGTAATCTTTTTCTTTGCTACTGTTGTTACTTTGTCTTAATATAAACTTAAATATGAAAATAAAATAATTTCTGCTCATCTGTTTGACCACAAGACAAAACTAAAAGAGACTGCATTTTCATATTAAAAGAAAAGCCAAAAACCACTTTCTAGTTTCTGAAGAGAAAAATTTAATTACCACAACATGCAGGTTGGTCCGCAGCTCAAAAAAACTCTTATAAGTGCAGAAAATAGGAGGCGTCACCTTGAGTCCTGTTTCGTTACTTTAAAAGACTATTTGGATCATAATGTGTCGGTGCTCAAGGTATGATACCCAATTCTTCTATTCATGTTGGCTCAAAGCCTTCAACCACTACAAGCCACTTAATGACTTTGTCACCAGTGACATCTAGTGTTAAACAGGGTCAGCTGACAAAAAAAAAAAAAAAAAATGGCAGCAATCATGATACAATTCAATAAGACTGCAGTTTAGGTGAGGGTGTCGAGTGTAGCAAAGGTCAAACTGAGGAGAAACAAGAGAAAAAAGTTCAATCGAGGTAAGAGTGGAGAAAGACTGGGGACAGACATCATTTTGCATCCCCGAGGTTGGAGAAATGAAGTGTCTGAAGGGAGATGCAAAATGGCACGGAGTAAAAACAAGTTAGACGCGGAGGGTACAGTAAGTTTAAAAAGTCAGACAAGTAATAAGAGTCAACAGCGCGAGAAAAAAAGGACAGCAATAGGAAAACACAGATTCCACAGGAAGCAAGACGTAACAAGGACTCAGAGCTCACCAGTTATTAGGGAGAAGAAACTTAGTTACTGAATAACAATTGGTGAAATATGGCACAGGAAAATTAAATATAAAAAAAAAAAGAGAGAATGGAGGCTGAGGGTTTTTTTAGACATCATTCAATACATCCTTGCAGCTATGGAGCTAAAACAGAGACTATTGGACACACTTATCCTCCACTTCAGCTCAGTCACTCTTCCTCTACTTCCCTCAGCGTGTCTGGGAATTCAGGCAGCAAGTATTAAAAAAAATACTAAAATAAAAATAAGCCTGTGGGAATCTGGTGCCAGATTCCGCAACTTCCAATAATCTGCAGACGCCGTAGAAACTTCCCCTCTCAAAGTGAAAGATATGTAGAGGACAGGGATGCAGTAAAAGAACAAACAAACTCAAAAGCACAAACAGTAGCTGCCACATTAATGCAACCATGCTTAGCTAGAAATACATTACTGTACCACTCACTCTTTAAATATACTGCATGTATTTTTAACCTAGAAATCCAATGCTATAGTGAAAGACACCTGAATATTATGCATACCCATTACGTTCAACTGACCTAAGGGAGAGAAGGAGAAGAAACAACGCAAACAAGAGGATTTTAATTCAGAAATACTGACAAAAGTAGTGGTTGGTTAAATAATCCTAATGTAGAGTAACATTGCTGCTGTCGCAAGAAAATCCTTTTTTTTTTCTTTTCTTTTTTACAATCGATTTTAAATATACAGGATCTGCTCATGGTTGAAACTCTTCATCAATATTATCCACCAGATATTCAGTGAAACTTTTATTTTCCTCCGACAGCGGCATTATGCAATATCGTCTTAAGAATTAACCTACTAGTGTACAAACATCTTGACTAATAAGAATTCAAACACTCCACCTTATTGTTTTAATTATGATATAAATTGCTTTTTCCTCCTCTTTTGCACTACAAAGCCTAAGTACCTGTTACTTAGCATTAAATTATAGTATAGTCAAGTTTTCTTTTCCTTTATCTTAAGTTGTGCAATAATTCCTTGCAATGTTATTGAATACCCCAAAGTTCTGATATGTTCTTGACTTCTTTGCAGTATTATTATTGAACGTTGGCAGCGCGAGCGGCCTCGACTCCCTATTTGGATATCACAATTTTTTAAAATTTTTTTAAACAAACTCAAAAAAGGCTGTGAAACTAATTACTTTGTGTCAACAGATGGAGATGCCCGCTCTAAATTTACTGCAATAATCAAACCACTACATCCACACCGCAGCAGTAAATGCTTCTTGTAATACCAACCTGCATTGTACAGATCTCAGTTAGGATGCGAGTGGGAGTGGGCCGGCATGAGATCCTGATTGTATGATAACCTCGAGTTAAGAGAGACAGAGGAAAAAAAAAAAGTTTCTGAATTTTGACAAAAACCTGAAACTGAAACATGGTGTCATTGCTTTCATTTAAAATAGGTCGCGAGTTATTCCTTCTGCTATTAAAATCACATATTGATTATTACTAGATTTAGAAACTTTAACGTTCGCAAACTGAGTTGAGAACAGCTATATTTGAGGAAATGCTTTCAAGTGCTTGCAACATGAAATATTCAAAATAGGGCTACACAAAATAGTGAATTGCAATATTTGGAATGCGGCGGCGTTTCAAAACTGTTGCCAATACTACATGGGCAGCTGGATAAATTTTTGAGCCCACATGTGATGCAAATCTAACAAAAGACATAAAAAAAACAAAGTTATGACAAAGACAAACAAAAATGTGATTTAGTTGCAATCATTACCATCCTAATGCTTAACATCAATGTTGCAATTTAATCTTTTCACTAAATTGTACAGCCCTGTTCTAAAAATATTCCCAACTGGTCAACTCTGTCATTTTGTAATCAAGACAGCCTATGAAATGTAGCAGGTTCCTTTCAGCCAGCTGGCCAGCAGTTCGCAGCCACAGCTGGGGAAGGGGAAAGTTTCCTGCCACTTTCTCTTGCGTCTCAGTAAAAAAAAATTTAAACGACAGGAAACTTTAGCGGTTTCAAACACCGGCTACACCTGGATGCAGGGAACCAGCCTACGCCAAGATGTCAGTGGAATTTATTTTTCTCAGAGTAAATCCTAAAAAATGCCACTGGCCTCATCTAAGTATTAAAACCCCACAATCAGTCTTTAACCTTCTGAACGAATCTTCCCCAGACGAGGACAAACAAGGAAGAAACAAAATTCACAGAAGTCGGTTTGTCGCGTTTCCTGTTAGGCCTACGGAAGTTTCCCCGTCATTCAGCAGCAGTGGATGATGCTGAAGTGCGTTCACTTTATTGGGCCTTCAATAAATTTGCCTCAGCTGTCGTGTATTTGTTTATTAGTCCTCGCCTGGGAAGTGGAAGGAGACGAGCACGATCACAGCCAGAAGAGAAGACAGAAAATCGATGTGGAGTACAAAAATAGCCACAATGTGCCATCTGCCTTTAAAGGAGAAATGTCACACACTTAAATGGCTTGTACTTTGAAATTGTTCGCCTGCCTTTTACATGACCCCCAACCCCCACAATCTCTTTAAACTCATTCTGTGCTGGCAGTAGCTGCCAGATAGCTATGTTTCTTTTTGTGTTTTACAACTGGAGGTACTGTCCAGTAAGTGCCACTAAGTGTGAGTGTGTCTAAGTGTAATCCCCAAAAACCCCTAAATTAGTTTAAATGCAAAAAACCCGCAGACAAAAGAGTCACTGTTGTGACCCAAACTAGCTAGGTTAAGATTCCAATAGTGTCCCAACATACCAGCCTGCATAGAGTGTAGCATGAAGTCGACGAATCTTTTCGTTAGTGTGTACTAGGTACAGCGTTAATGAGAAAACACGACGGGTCGAGATCTGTAAGTGCTCACAGCACCAACTAATGTGGCAGAGGGGATGACGGACACACAGCTACTACGCGTTGGAAGACAAGTGAGATTGGACTGAGAATCAAACATAATCAGGCAAAAAATAGGGATGACGAGGAAGGCAGGAAAAAATAGAAGGTGAAGCAATTGAGGTTGGTAGTATAAAGGACATTTAAAAATATTATTACCCCCTTAAAAGCAGGAAAACAAATGATCTGATGATGTTAAAACCCTGTGCTGATATCGAGCTGTTAGAAAATTTGGCAGCATTAATCAATAGTCTTTGATGATGATGATGATGCCCAATATTTTCCAGCAAACTGAGCAGCAGCGGCGGCAGCAGCAGGCGGGGAGCACACACACCAGGACAACACAAAAACAGGAGCGACCAACCGACACCTGCGATTGGTCGAGAGTCCGTTCTGGAGTTCCAATGAAAGACACGGCAAAATAATAAAAAATAAAAATAAAAAAACAAAAGGAAAAAAAATAAGAGGAATTCAAACTAAACAATCGAGAGGAAATAAGACCGTAATGACTGATTGGCAAATAAACAAAAGAGAGAATAATAAAAACAAAAGCAGCCTTGGTAAAAACATTAGAGAATGTCGCATAACAATAATAATAGTAAAGTGGCTGTTGCACTTTAGTTTTGTTCTTGCAGACAGGTGCCGAGTTCTCGTGGTTACCGCTGGGAGCTCGTGTAACATTTGAGCAGTTGCATACGATGGTGGACTCCAGATCTGGTGGGGTGAGCAGAGAAGAAGAGGATGGGTTAATGCGGAGCTGCAGAGTTTGTTGTTTGTTGGACTAAACGGCAGGAGAAGAGGAGGTGGGGGGAATTTCTCTGTGGATACTCACATGACGGGTGGGCTCTACCAGTGAGGCGGTACGTAGCTGTAACCAGGGGTCCCTTGGGGCCTGTAGGTTGGCACAGTAACTGGGTGTGCGCCGATTGGTGGGTGCTGGGGTGTTGTCAACAGAGTCCCTACACACATTTAACACCAGCATTAATGTGGAAGAAGCTCCTTTAAAATAAAAATAAGCCTCCTTTGAGAATTACTGAAACCCTGCTAACTTTTGTCACGTTACAAACACAACTTCAGTATACTTTATTGAAAACTATGAATGCTCTCGAAAGCAGGACTTGGTTAGAAACTATGAAAAGCACAAAAAAGCCTGCATCTAAGGCGACAGGCCAGGTCTGGAGAGTACAACTCAGAGAAGCAGCCAATACGCCGATGCCAACTCTGGAGGAGCTGCAGAGAGACACAGCTCAGCTGGGAGAATCCATTAACGATGTATTGGTTGTGCATTTCATAAATTTGGTATTCATGTACGAGAAACGTCTTTGGAAAAAAAAGCCATAGCGTGTCATGTTTAAAGTTTGCATACATGCAACCAGAGGGATGCTTTACAATCGCATGAATTGCACGAATGATGCAAAGTCCAAATCTAAATTTATCAGTGACAGGATACAAAACTGCCACACAGATGCTGTTTTGAAAATGAAAGCAAAATATTTCAATCTAGAAGATAATTTGGAGACGTGGAACAAACGACTTGCAGTTGGGAGTTTTGGTGAAAACGGGGACTAACAGCTCTGAGTCAGGCGGAGCTGAAATCCAACAAACATCCGACTTTACATTTTTATTGGAATACAATTAATAAACATGCACTACTTTGAGTTGTTTCATTACATAAAAACTCAAGAGAAAACTTTAAAGTTTGTGGTTGCAAGTGACAAACTGGAAGAAGCATAAGGGAGATTAATGGGTTTACAAGGAATAGTAGTTGACAGGGTCTCACTTTGTACACATTCTGCAGAGAGTATTGGTTCTACCTGCACTCATGGCCATGGTTGTCCCGGCTACCATCCCCATGGTAGGCATACCGTTGTTGCGAGGGGCAGGAACAGGGACTGGGGCAGGATAGAGGGCTGTGGAGGGGATGCTGTTGGGCTGCACCACAGTGGTGTGATGGATCACGTGTGGCTGGGCCGCATATACTGGTTGGGTGTAGTATGCTCCCTGTCACAGGAAACAAGTTAAAAGAGCTCAAAGTGTTGCTCTCGATGGGGTCCTGCCGCATGTACAGCATGGAAGAATTATAACAGTGTTAAAGTGCTTTATCACTGTTCTGAAGGCAACATTTTTTACTTGAGACTTTGAAACTAAACGTTGAATAAATATCCATGTAATGTGAAGGCAATAACATGACGAAAGTGATATGAAACAGAGATGGATGGTTGAATAAATCCAATCGCATTTACAGAACACATTCTGCAAATCCCTGAAACAAGAAAAACGAGTCAGGAGAAGTTCTAACTCTCCTCCGACAATTTGTTTTAATATCGAGATTTGGATAAAGTCTCGTTCCCAAGCTATTTCACAGACTGCACGCCATTTGGTCGCAAGTTTGGCAAAAATGCTTTAACAAATTGTTTTTTAATAGCCAGAGAAATGATGTTGCCAGCAAGGAAAAACAAACGTTAAATGGCGGAGACAGCCAAACAGGTGGAACAGTAAACACAGAGACAATGTCGTCCGTGATGTCCTTACCTGTGCGTAAATGTTCTGCTGAGGGTAGGCACTGCGGATGGGGTACATGGCTGTGGGGTATGGGGTGGGAGTGGGGGTGTAGGGAGGGGGTGCTCCGTTTGACTGAGTGGGGGGCACTTTGTATGGGGTTCCCGCCGGGGTGTATCCTGCAAATATCCAGAAAACAGCTTAAATTAATCAAACAAATGCAAAGTAGTTCAAAAAATGTATGTATACATAAATTAATTTTTGATTATTAAAATTAGTTAGGATAATTTTACAAGATCTAAAATGAACTCAAGCAACTAAAAAGCAATTTATACAAGTGTATCAAATTCTGTTTTTATTCCCATCTTTTCTGGGGGGAAAACCTGGAAATGTGAAACATCGTGAGATCTTTGAGGGGATCTTGTTAACAAGATTAACACGTGTGGTGCCTGAAAGTTATTTCGAGTTTTGAGATGAAAATTTCTGCTTCTATTTTTTTCCTTTTCGGTGGAGTCGGAAGCATTTCTCCAGACAAAAACAGCAACCGACTGCTCCTTCAATCCAAGCTGATAAGAGCAATAAAACCTAACGTACTAACCACTGATAAGATGCTGAAACCCTTAGAGGGAGCTCAAAAGGGAAGTGCAGAGTAAGATAATTATACCAGGCTTTTCACTATAAGCTGAGTATGAATAAGAAATAGCTCCTGAAATGAACCATTGTTGCCGCTCAGACGCTGCTATAAATCCATTATGCCAAAATAACTGAAGAAAAAGGATAGTTAAAAGTGAAAAAAGTCAAATATTAAATAGTTTTTTCCCAAGACACATCAAAGAGATGTGTCTCTCTTGACACATCTCTTTCAAAGTGACAAATGACAAATGAGGGATATCAATTTTGCCACTTTAATATTTGCATTTCCTGTAAAGACCACCAGATGGGGACTGTTTGTATTTAAAGAAGAGTTCAGCCTTACAATCAGCAGAGAAAAACACATCATAAAAAAAAAAAAAAAAATCTGATTTAGCAGGCTTAAACTGGAGCTTTGAATCAAAGCCTTCTTTTAGTGTGCAGAGAAACAAAGAAAGAAGCTGTGTAAGCAGTGACTACAGGCTAAATTTAAGACATCACTTGTATTGCAGGGAAACATGGTAGGCATTAAATAATTTACCAGAGTCCTCACTTCACAAAGATTACATCAGTATTTGAAAGATGGTATTCGTCTCATTGGGCTGCGTTCTTATGAAGAATGGTCTGAGGGGGTGCAGTACCTCTGAGCAGCCACAGGATGGAGCCTGAAGGTCAAACATGCTACTAGCTAGCTGCTGCATAGCTTATGAAAAGCCCTTCTCTTACACAAGGACAAGGGAACAAAGAGATGCTGGAGCTGTTCTCGCTACCGGTGATTGTATGCTGGAGTGTGTGTGTGTGTGTGTGTGTGTGTGTGTGTGTGTGTGCATGCTTTCACGGTCAATCTCTGCTCTGAAGTCCACACGAGGCATTAAGAGACCATGGTATGAGACAGTCGTACAAAAGAAGCACAGACAAAAAAAACAAAACAAAAAAAAAACCTGTCCGTCAATGGTTGTGATGAATAACGACTGAGACGTGTTTTCAATCAGACCACAACTGGTTTTATCTAGCGATTCATTCATGTTGAGAGGAAAAGAAAATGAACTATTTTAATCCCCTCATAAATCAAGCCCAGTAGAAAGGAGTCAGCAATCAGACAACACAGCCACAACAGAAAGGCTCAGGTTTCTGTGAGAACAAAAGCAGATCTGATGTTTTGCTCGACTTCCAAAAGACGAACCTAAGCTCGGGCAGAGGAAGAGAGAAGGCAGCTTCAGAAGGAGCAAAGGAGGAGTCTATGAAACCTGCTCCTTCCTTTGTTACAAACCAAATCCAAGAGGACAGGAAAACGATGATTTCTTCTTGCTAACGGAATTCAGTTTTGACAAATTTATCAAGTCGCTGAGGGACATTCATTTCTTATATGATATGAATATAAATCACTGACCCTTTGCTCTATTCTCTCTCTCTCTGTCACCCCCCAACGCTCACATAATTGGGTCTGCTCAGTAATGGAAAAAATTAATAATCATTGAAATCCTTACTTTTTATGATTACTAATCGAGTCTGGAAATGCACAACATATTGTATTTTATGATTATTTTCTAACAACTATGTTTTAATAATGAAGCCATTTTTGTTTTTATAAACCCAGGAGTCAAATCCCATTGTACATAAATACCATTTGAACAGGGTAATGTCAATAAAAAGTTAATTGATTTCAGGAACATTATTCATTTTGCACACAGATGGATTTATTCAAAGCTCTTATTTATGTTAATTTTGGTTATTAAGACTTACAGTAAATAACCCACAAATCAGGTTCTTAAAATATATCAATATTACAAGGAGGCACTTTTTTTTTAACAAAGAAATGGTAATCCCGTGGCTTATGTCACCTCCCAGCTTCATTTCCTCTCAAGTTTATATTTTCTGTTAAGTTACAATTACACCAACGTTAAATTTTTTTTTCCATTGTTCTTATTTAAATACATTGATGTAATGAGCCAACATTATTTGAAAGGCAAAATTAAAAGCAAGGTCAGACATCTGCTTCAAAGTCTCATTGGATATGGAGATTGAAAGAGTTATTCTGTAATCAAACCCGTGGACACATTTTAAACGGTGAAGTTAAAATATTTCGGTGTTCATGTTGAGACACAAATTGAAACAATTACAACTGCCCAGAGTTGTTGATTATTTACCCAGCTGAAGGTTTAATGGGGCAGACCTGAAGCTGCTTAATATGAGGGTGTGCTTATTCTTCCTCATCTCCTCTATTTTAATAATTAAAAATCTGTAGATGAGTTAGGTTCCCTAACTCGGAGGCAAATGTCATTTTATAGCATAATCATTTGTTATAAAAATCTTATGTATAGCAAATATGACTTAAAAGAAATTTTACTTCTTGATTTAACGCCTTGAAATTGGGCCTCTGCCTCTTTAAAACCTCCTGCTCTTTCTGAAACTCCACCTTCAGGAAGTCATCATAATAGTGCTCCTCTATTAACCCTTTAACAACTCTTTTTTTTTTTTTTTAAACCAGCATTGCACTGAGAAATAGCTCCTAAATTCATGCACAGCTCCACCAGGTGTCTGCCAATAGCTGCTGGCTCCTCTGGAGGAGCTGAGCAGGGGAGAAGCAGGCCATGAAGTTTATGATATAAACAGTCTTTTATAAGTTAGCTGACAGATTAAGAATCTTTTTAATCATGGAGGTCAAGTTTTTTCTGTTTACCTGCGTTTTCCTTTCTCTCTTTCCACTAGTCAATGTAAAATACTTCTAAGAACGTGTTAAATGTCAGTTTTCTCAGAAATGTTAACCTTTAGGTAAATACTGGGGCTTAAAGAACCTTTACTGTCACCGCATTCCTACAATAGCTGCCCTAATATTAACAACAGTTAATATTTGAGGGAGATAGTTGAAAATAACTTCTTTATGTCAATTTATGTTGCCTTCTTGGTATCCCAAAATACTAAATTAGATCCATCGCGATCAGTCACTGTGGTGACGATCAATAGACTAAGAATCAATCGTCCAAATGTTTAATAATTCAGAAAATTAATGAACATTACTTTCTCAAAATAATGTTTTCTCTTCACTACAACTGTGCATTGTAAAACGGTGGTTGGAACAAATGGTGTATCAACTTAGTCTTTAATTTTAATTAGTTCAGAGTTAATTTGGCCTCACTTTCAAAAATCTTCATGTTTCATTCTTGCATGTTTTTGGTGATGCTGTGTGAAAAACCTACAGTATATTATTGTGCAAATTAACCTGAATTTGTTGAGAATTATTTTGTTCTCATTTCCAAAACCGAGGTTCTTAAAGAGAAGAGGCGTCAGACATGGCTATGACGCAAAGTGAAACTTCTAAATTATTTTAAGATGTACAGCATTTTCATCACAACTGAAGGTAACAGTTGACAGCGTGACTTTCCAGCTCAATGTGACTGAAAGATGCATCATAACCCTTTAATGGGAATGTTGTTATTTTTGCTTGTAATTGTGTATATTAGAGATAAGTTGTTTTTTTCCATAAATTTATAGTGTACTCCTGTTCAAAAATAAACAAAATAAATTGCCAGTACTGTGCTTATCTCTCCATCTAGAATTTGAATACCTAAACCCTATCAAGCAGGACTGCATAGATATTAATGGTCTAACTATTTGGCTGTTACTTTTCTGATGCTCAGGTGGTGCCCCGACTTGGCCATTTTGATCTAAATTACTAGTTTTGTTAATAATTACCCTCAACTATTGTTTAGTGATTCACAGGCAAGTCGGACCCATTGTTGCACAACACCCACCATATTTACCCACTGGCTGGCTGGGTAGTAAGTTGTTTTCGGAAACATTTTGAATAAACCAGACGCACAATAAAATGCTGTGTAAAGACTGATTAAAGGCACTGAAGGAAACGTGCAGGTTTGCTTGTTATTTCAGTCTAGCATCAACAGGTGCAAACGGCAAACAAGTCTAAATTTACTTTTTTTTAACTAAAGTAATTTGTTGAATATGAATGATGATTTCTCAGTTTGAAGTAAGGCTGTCAGGAAAATGTGGAGTTACAATACTATTAAGTATTGCCATGGCAAATGTAATCAGATATATTGAGCAGCTCTCGCTTTAAATACAGCCATCAAAATCTTCTAAATGCTTATGAGAATGACTCCATATTGTTTCATTCCAGTAAGTGAAAATGTCTTTACGATCCTTGTGATTTAAATTTAAAACTTGAATGAATTACAAAAAGTTATTGTCAAATTACATTTCCCTTAAAGCAAATACAACAATCAGCTTCAGTGGACGTTTTGACACTGGCATGCAAGCCTTCTTGCAGTATTAATTAAGTTTCATAATAATTACTTATGACATTTGGACAAAATATTAGGATCTGTGTTACAAACTTTCCCATTTTTCTGTAGTTTCAACTAGTTAAAAACTGGTAGATAATGAAAAAGTATGTTGTTCTTAATTTGTCTCAACATATAATAAATCTGTTCCATCTAAACTGGGGAGTATAATTTTAAAAAATGTTAACAAAAGAGTCAACAAATTGACACAAAAAACACATTAGGATGTAACTAGGTAAAGCTTTCCAAACTCCCTGTTCTGGTTTTGTTCTTTTTTAAACCAGAGAAAATGAATTTTCACTCCAACATCACCTCATCAAAACCTGTTTGTTGGATTTCTTTTTGCAGAAAACTCTTTTAACATGTCTTTAACAAAAGCAATGAAAGCTGACAGCCTTATTTTTTTGTTTTTGAAGAACAGTGAGAGTTCAAGCTTACCTGGTGGATACCCAGGACTGCCTGTTTGATAGAGGTTCGGAGTGTAGGTGGGAGCTGTGGCTGGATACCCTCCTGGATAGGCTGACAGAGGAAGAACACAGGTGGAAAAGAAAATGTGACAAAATCCCACTAAATAAGCACAGGGAACACCCAACACATATACGAAGGAGTGTAGAACAAAGTACTTAACTTGAAGCAGGATGTGCACAGATGGCAGTCATTAAAAAAAAAAAAAAAAACTAAAACGTCTGCAACAATAACACAGTCGGCTGAATGTGTCTAACATTCACAGATTAGGCAGGCGAGGCACACCTGCCAATATGGTGTGGGAGGAGATAAATTCAGAAACATTAGCGATGCATAAGGATGCACGTGAGAGGGGTAGACACACACTGCTGTGCGTCATAAATCACATGTCGGGCGAAGCAACAAAGATCCGACCTGAGAAAGAGTTTTCTGGGATGGAATGTGAAGCTACGGAGAGATACCAAGAAGCAACAACAGGAAGCAAAACAAGCAGGTTTCAGGATACAGTTGAATTCTAATTAATTTATGCAGGTTATTTGTGTTGCTTTAGCATCAACAGAATCTAAGACAGTTTTTAATTCATTTCTCTGACTACAGGGCAGACCACAGCCTTAAAGCAATGGACTGGAAAACCATTTGCTTCAGCATCAACCCCAATCTCAGAAATTTTCCACCTACATTTAGAGAAACCACCACAGTTAATGCCAAATATATTACTTGGGAGTTGCGACACGTTGTTGATTCCAAATCGGCACTTTGTTGATTCCAACTCGGCTCCGACTTTTAGCTGGGCCAGAGAAGAGAATCAGTTTTGTAAAGAACTAAAGTTGAGCTCATGAGGATCAACAACCAATCAAAATGTTGAGTGCCATGTTTAAAACTCACAGGGTTTCTATCAGTTCAAATCTGTCCAATTAAAAAGACAAAACTACTGAGCTATTACATTAACAAAATGCAGCAGAATAACATGAGCTAAATTTGGATATTATTTGCCACATTCTATTATGTAGGTCAGGGGTGCCCAAAATGTCGATCGCGATCTACCGGTCGATCGCGATCTACCGGTCGATCGCGATCTACCGGTCGATCGCGATCTACCGGTCGATCGCGATCTACCGGTCGATCGCGATCTACCGGTCGATCGCGATCTACCGGTCGATCGCGATCTACCGGTCGATCGCGATCTACCGGTCGATCGCGATCGACCGGTCGATCGCGGGCAGGTTTTGAGTCGATCTCTGCAGGACGCTGAGAGCAGCACTTCCTCTTCTGACAGACTTTTCAAAATATTCACTAAGATCCAAAACGTTTGTAGCTTCATTAAATAACAATAAAGCCTGAAACCTGATATCGTAACGGACTGAACGTTTTTAACGTAATCTGTGCTCGGCTTGCGGGGCGCAGGCGGTTGCCACGGCAACGGGTGTGCTTAACAATAAAGAGAGAGAGAGAGTGAAACGGTGCGAGTGGTTTTGAGTTGTTCGGGTTATTTTACCTTTGTTTACCTTCGCTGTGATTCATCACAGCCGCTGAAGTTTCTGAACGTTCAATAAACGACAAACTTGGACTAATTACCTCGTTCGTTTGCAGTAAACGTCACAACAAACGTCAAATAGGACAAATATATTTGATTAAGTTTTAACAAACAAATGGCTTCTACCACAATAATTGTGTCAAATTACATTAATTATATCCCAAATTCAGAGGATTTGCCTTTACCTCTGCAGAGCTCTTTGGTTCCTCCTATCAGTCTGCAGTTTCGCATATTGACGTCATCAAAACAAATATCGGATATACCATAACTGACACCTGCTGGCCTCAGGTTTGCAACCAGCTTCTGACTGAGAAACCAGTAACCTGCTCCCAGTGTCAGAATCTCACTGAGGAAGAAACTGCATTAGGTTTTCTATCACTTTATCATTTCTGATATATCTGATGTTTATTTGCATAGAAAATTAGTCAATAGGGTTTCATTTATAATTTGTATGTGTAACTGGGTCTATATCAATAGTTATATATTTACACAAAAATGTTTTCTTTAATGCATTTGTCAGTTTGCATCTGGCTGTTCTTGTGTTCTTCTGTCTCTGTTATGGGGGGTTTGGTCCTCCAGCTCCGCCTTACTTTCTTCTTCTCTTGTTCAGGGTCCTCCAGGACTGTTATAAATGTTAAGTTATTCATTTCCTCTTCCCTTTTGTCATTCGTTCCACTGGGGAGAGGCAAGTTTTGTGGTCCATTGGAACGCTTTCATTCATATTCTTCAAATGTTTATTTTTCCATCTGTGCTGATTAAATGTGTTTGAATATTTTCATTTGAGTAATTACTCCTTTATAACATTGTTATGTTGTATAGATTGGGCTGGAGAACTGGAGCACATGCTATGTGCTAATGCTAATATCTCCCGATTGACAGATCAATAAACGGAGACTGCCTCCAAACCTAGACTTGATGCTTTGTGGTTCATCCGATCACCACACACACAACGCAGAAGTCCACCAGTCACATATGTCTTCATGTCATGAGGTAGATCTCAGCCGGCTGGTGAGAGAAAAAGTAGATCTTGGTCTCAAAAAGTTTGAGCACCCCTGATGTAGGTAAATTTCTCTACAGCAAAAGCTGCACTGACAAGTGCCGATTCCAAATCCATTTAGTAAAACTTTCCATATTTTATCATCACCAGGTACTTTAAATAATTGCAGCATGGCTGATCATTACAGGTCAGAGCTTCAGCTGTCAATCAGACTGTTTAATACAACATTAGTAAGCAAAGGTGGAGAAATTAAGGTTCTTATAGGGAAAGTGAAACAAGTCATGTGACTTGTGTAGTCGCAGTGTGCCTGTGGTTCTCTACAGAAACGCAACATATGCTCATTGTAGCGTCTTTTTCTGTAATGTAAGAGGAGGTGTTCAGTTTTGTTTTACAGAACCAGTGTAGAACAAACTAGCAATCAGTGAAGCAGCTTTGGTGGAAAAACCCTGAAGGAGCAAAGAGGAGGGGCAACAAATATCCCAACATCTCCTTAACTAATTTTATAAAGAAAGAGATGAAGAAACATAGATAAAAAGCATCTGAAGAGGCTCCCACTCAACTGGAAAAAGCTTACAGGAAACCCTGTAAAATAACTGATCACAGATTGAAATCATAAAGCAAAAGCAACACCTTAATTCTGTGTAAACTGTAAAATAGTGGAAAAAAACTTCATTACATTAAACTAAAGTTTGCCAAAAAGAAGATAAAAAAGCTTTACATTGAAACCCACTTCAATCAACTTTTACTCTTTTCACAATAATTAAAACCAGATCCTTGGGATCGTAGAGGAGAACTCGATGAAACACCAGGCGGTTTTGATGACCTAGTTAAAAGCCAGAACTTCTCAGAATCTCACAGAATTTAACTTGAGGAGTTTTTAGAGGTTTGGTGAAGACCTAAGTAAATAGTTCAGAGGAATGGTTTAATATGTGCAGCGATGCCTTCCAAAGCTTAGGAAATGGAAAACAGTCTGCTTTTGTATCTTGTTCTATTGTATTCAATTTTCTGCCTGAATGGTCTGAGTGAAGGCCTGAGCTAGTCTCTATGTGTATAAAGGGAATGAATATTTGAGTCAATAACACCAAGATTAAGGGTTTAGAGAAACCCTGGAATGTGAAAATGTAATTCTGCTAGAACACCAATGTAAAAAATATGAATTATTTACAATTTCCCATTTAAACAGGTAATAGAGGGATATAAAAGTCCTTTTAAAAGTACTGCTTAACGTGCCGTTTGATTTCATTACATGTTAATGACAAAATACTTTAAGTAGTGGTCATAAATGACAACTTCGTAATATTTATTTAATCAAGAATGGGCTGCCGAGGGAATCTGACCAGCCAACATACAGTTTATCCATCATCCAGCATCATCTCTGCGGAAAAGACACCAGGACTGCTGTGGCTCATCAACTCTAATTAACAAACCCCAGACTGATCAGACTGCTGACCACAGAGACTCAGAGTTCCTCAGAGACTTGATACTCGACTTTCCTCAGTTCTCTGTTTATTGTCTTCATTTTAAATTCTAAAATACCAGCACAGACAATGGACATGCTTTAAATGTAGAAGCTGGGGGGGGGAGGAGGCTGAAACAAAGCAAGGAAGAATGAATGAAAATAGGACAAAATTTTAAAAACAATAAAAGGAAGGAAAGAGTGACAGGGAGAACACAGAAAGAAAATAGAAAAGGTGGTAAATTGGAGTTCAAGAAAGGAAATGAAGAATGGGTGAAAGGAAATAAGTAAAAACACCAAGAAGGAAAGAATCAAGAAAGAACAGTACAAGGATTGCAAATAGCTAGACTAATTAACCCACAAATGGCTTGTTACAGCTTGTTGCAATAAACATTTAATTTGAAAAGGTTTCAAAATTCAACAAATAAGACTTGAAGTTTTCACCGTTTGTCTTTAGCTGAAGGAAATTGTAAAAAACCACACCCGCTTATGTACTCATGAAAGTTTTTATTCACTGTCAGCTATTTTATGTTCTCTTCCTCACAGTACTTGTGCTGCTTACATGTGTGCCCACATATCTCAATCAACGGAAAAATGATCAAAACGGTTCACTATTACTCAAGGTTGTCGTACCTAAAGTATCTCATATTTTGGGTAGAAACAAAATATGAAATACAGTTACCAGTACCAGTCTAGGTACTGTTAAAAATACTTAGGCTGATTACTTATTTGAAGAGTCTTGTATGCAGTTTGTGATTCTTTGTAAATATTTTATTCTGCTTTTGAAAACAAAAATTATTAGTAGAATGACCCAGCGTGGCTTTAACTAGTCATTTTGCAGCTTCCCTATTTGACTTGATCTCGCATGGCAAATTAAAAACCTAAATTCATTTCATTTAACAGACAGAGAAAAGGTGCCATAAATCACAAACTACACATAGGGCTAGTTTTCTTCAGGGTGAATCACGTACTGGCATCGATAACAGAAAGAGCCCACAACAAAAGGAGGAAATGAAAGAATTTCAATCAGCGTAACCTGAACAGATTAGCTGACTATATAGTGACATCAGTTGGAGACCTAATGTTAAAAGTGCTATTTTATAGCACAATCAACTAATTATGCTAGTTGATTCAGTTGTTATAGAAATGCTATATATTTTTTTTTATATCAAATAATGAGTTCAGCAGATGCGCAGTGTTTGCTAATTCCTGCTGGCTAGTCTGAAGGAGCTGCGAGCCGTGGGGAGGGGGTGCTCTGCGAGGGAGGTGGAGGCTCGGAAGCTGCAGCTCTCATTTGTGATGCGATGTAAAGCCCAAAAAAGTCAATTTTACATAACACTGCCCTTTTAATCTAATTCTACACTTGTTTCCATTATAATCCAGATTGCATAAGAAGTCAGCGCACATCTGTATACGTGTCTCACCTGTGAAGGCCATATTCTTGGGGTTTCCATAAGGAGTGCCAGGCTGAACAGGACTGTAGACTGGATTCATGGCTGAAGATAACCTGCTTTTACTAAGAAGAATCACAGGAGGGGGGTGGAACAGAGGGAAGAGGGTTGAAATAGAAAAACAGAAACAACACATGTAATTCATGTCAGTTGATGAAAAACACACATACTGTCAATATTACATTCGTCTAAGGGATTCGGCATGAAGAGGGGGAAAAAATCTGAAAGTCATCAAGCCCTGTGAATCATCGTCCTTATATAGGCTCAACGTAAGAATACACTCAGACTACTGAAATAACACAGAGCGCAAGTACTGGCTGGAAAGCACAAGGAGGGGTGGATTCATTGAGAACTAGCGTCTTCTGTGCGGTCTTGAATGCGCCACACAGCCAGACTTTCACAACTGGAAGGGAAAAAAAAAATGGAGCGACCTATTAATGGATTCAGGTGCTAGAACAGGTTCAGGGTAAAGGTTTTGTTAATGCCGCATGCCCTGCGGAAAAAAAAAAAATAGAGAAAGAACTCCGCCTCAGTTCTGTCCAACTTACCTGCCGATGATAAATTTGGGCATTCTGAAAGTGTTTTAGTGATAATGTGAGTGTGTGTTCATGCATGCCCCGTACCTCTTGTGCGTGTCTGGTTGATACATGAAACTGAATTTGTCTGTGGGATGCCCGCTCGCCATTCTTGCTTTATGCAAATGAGGGAGGAGTGGAAGTGGATATGCAAATCTGAAATTAAAACAGCGAGAGGTCATGATTACAATGAACACAGGAAAATATAGTGAAATTATATTAAAAAAAAAAAAAACAGCAAAGAAAAACGGGGGTAAAAAAAAAGCAAGCGCCAGTGCAACGGTAAATGGTTAGTGAGAGCAGCAGAGCTGAGCGCCTTTCTGATAACTGATCCAAAACCAGCTCCTCAGTTGCTACTTGTAAAACCTATAAGATGTGTATCAAAGTGATAGCAACCCATGACTATGTATGAGTATACACACATGAAACGTGCTGCATTTAACAAGAAACACAAGCGGCGATACAAACACGGAACCAGCCCATGAAAAAAGCACAACAAACCCAGTGAGCAGGCAGGTGACAGCAAGCACAACAACTAAACAAAACACAGCACACCAAGGCTGAAAAAAGACGCCAAGTGAGGACTGGAAGATTCTAAATAAAAAAAAAAAAAAGAGGGGGGAATGTGTGTGTGTGTGTGCGTGTAATGTGTGTTTTATTTGAGATGATGTGTTCCCCGGACAGACGGGATGTGGCGTTTGAAGTGTGCTTGTAAAAAGTAGCTCTGTCATTTGCTGTGTATGAGAGAGTGCCGAGTATCCTGCGGTTAACACCACAATCCCCAGCAGTTCCTTATGAAAAACAGGAGTGCTCCGTCAATGGTTTCTCACTTTATAAAAACACATTTTTAAACTGAATTAAATGAAAATAAACTGATCCACCCTCAAGTCAAGATTATTTGTAAAGGACATTTCAGCAACGAGACACATCAAAGTGCTTCACACAGCAAAAACATGGTACAGTTGCTAATTATGGAACAAGCAATAATCATTAAATTTTGTAAAATCAAGCAAATACACATCCAATATGTTGATCAATGGTCTACTTATAACTAATCAAAAGCAATTCTAAAAAGCTTTGATTTAAATAAACTCAGCGTTGCAGCATCTTTACAGTTTTCTGGAAGTTTGTTCCAGATTATTGGAGCAAAAGAACTGAATGCTGCTTCTCCGTATTTGGTTCTGGGAATGCAGAGTAGACCAGAACATCCAATATGTACGTGACCGGAGTGGTACAGGTCTTTAATGTACTTTGGTGCCAAGTTGCTCAGTAATTTGTAAACCGATAGAAGTATTTTAAAGTCTCTGAGCTATTTCCTTAGCTTGTCCTTTAAAGTCTGTTAATTAGAACAAATCCGTTGAATCCTATTAGTGTGTCAATTCATACACATGGGGCTTATAGAAGTCCTGAAACGTCAGCATCAATCCCCAAAACACCGGTACATGAAAAGCACTAAATGTATATTTTTATGGTGGAATACAAGCCCCAAAATCCAACTTGTGTGCCGGTGCTCTTGTAAAACAAGGACGTTAACAATCTAGCTCTATTTCGCCTCTTAAACTGGTGTCTCACATTGAAATTATGTCTCAGGGGAGATGATTAACCTGCTTCGATACATCTCGCAGTACAATCCTAATTAATCTACTGCATCATTTGTGATTGAATTCCTTCCTCTAGCTCTGCTCAGCCTCCCACCTTTCATCTCGCCCCTGAGCGGCTCTTCTTTGTTAAACTCATCGTTTACTTTCCCCGCCTTCATTAATGGGCGTTTTTACATGCAAATGCTTCCAAAGTCAAACTAAAAGCTGTAGCTCTGGACAGCTCTGGTTTGGCCTCGACTTATAAATACCAAACTGTTCAAAACAAATGCACGAAATATGCTGTGTAATGCATAAACTTAAATTTAATATGGTTTCACATTTTCAACCAATGATGCAGATTAAGAGAAATGCAAATCCTTGGCAAAAGTCAATTGCAATTTATCATTAAGTACAGACCTACCAAATTAAAATGTTGCGCATTACAGATTGGTCTTTTTGGGATTGTTTATGATCATTTCAAATGTGTCGCTCCAGCTTAAAGCAGAAGGCAGTAAACATATAACAGGTATGTTTCTGGCACCACAGGGAACCAGGTGTTTAGTGCAGCTCTGGACTTTTTAAATGTGCAAACGAGTCTTGTTGAGGTTGAGGTCCAACAGCATAACAAAACAACCAGAGGGAAACCACCGGATCACTTCTTACTGACTAAGGCTTTTACTAACATTAAGTAGGAAATTTGGGCTTTTCATTGTGGCCTGACTTGTCTGCTTAACGTTTTAATTGTGTGATTTAAAAATAGACTATTGGACTTTATCTGTTTTCTTTTGGTTTTGTTTTGGGGTTTTTTGCCAGGGTAGCCAAAACAATGTTTTCTAGCATCAGCACAAAAACATACATACCGTTGTATAAAAAAACTTCTAACTGAGCTCTATTAATCTAATTACAACAGCTCATAGTATCATCTTAATTATAGTTAAACGAATAACTTAGATGAATTTTCAATGGCAGTCACACTAATCACAACGGTCTGAGATGCATCCCTTGAAGTTTTTAGTGTTTTGACATCTTAATTTCCACTCCTCTTGAGACATTTTGACACCATTGTGCAAACTGATGACTATCTGTTTAGATTTTTAAAGCAATTTCTTTTAACACAAGTAGCCTTTACTGATCAATAATCTGAAAGGATAGAGAGAAGGGGAAGACATGTGACCAGGAATCGAATCCACAACAACAGCGTGAAAAACTAGAGTTTCTCTTCAACCAGATTAGCTTCACAGCATCACAACCTCCAACTCATTTAAACGGGATTAAAATACACCACCTACGCCATGATTGACATATATTTTTGTCGCAAGACATTGAAATTGTCTGATTCCATTCAACAGTAAAGAAATAAGTGTATTACAGTAATTCATACACTTCAAAACCCCATACTTCTACCTCACTGGGGGCACTCATAACCAAGCAACAGCTACAGATCTGGACATCATAGTTATGAACAAAGTGGTAAAACGGTCCTCCTCTATTGTCTTCAACCAACAAGTCAAGGCTTAAGATGTCCTTAATTTGTTCCTGGAATGGCAAATGATAAAGCTTCCAACTAAACTGGTAGAAAGTCAATGTCAAAACAAGTAAGAGAACTGATCTGATCATCACATTAATAATGTTATTTCTCAGACAAAAATATAAAAACGTTGAGTGAGGTAACAAAGCCCGTTAACACAAGGACAGGTGGCTACACAGACCCAGAGGTCTTCTCCTCCCATCATATACATACCCAGTTACAGCTGTGCATGAATAGAGCAGTGAGACTCAGGTGTGTTCGTCTGATTCAGTGAGTTGGACAGCATGGAAAGGTGAAGGGAAAAAAGAATAAAGGGTGAGAACAAGAGGGGCTCCACAATGAATTTAATGAGGGAGTATGTGCAGAACAGAGGACAACAGAAACACATGTGTTGAGTGGGAGAGTCCAACCGTAACTCACTGCGTTTTCTTTTTTAAGAGAGGGGGAGGGTGACGAACAGGTCTCTACTCATAAAAAGCTCTCTCGTTTTTTTTTAAACCAGTAAAACTTCTGTGCTGCAGCCAGAGAAGACCATTTTACACAGATCATTCACAGCGGAAAGGCAGAAGGGATTATTGTGTATTTGAAGAAACAAACGCAAACAGAGTATTTCTTTCTATTTAACATACAACTCTGTTGCTCATAGGATAACTTGGAAAAAAATAAAACAATTTTGTCTCCTGATTAAATGCAGTGGACCACCCTATTCGTGGTTCAGTATTAGATTTTTTTTCTGTGGAACTGTGACTCAAAAAACTGGCTTTTTATATTTACGTGTGTGTGTTGCAAGCAGGTTTTGTATAATGCCAACAGGAGTGCAAGAAATCACTGCCCAACAATATTGAAGGTTAGTGGTGCACCGATTTCAGTTTTCAGGCATATCACAGATTATCAATCCTTTAAAAAGCCTGGCCTATTGATTCCGATTTTGGCTGGTACCAATTTATGTTTGTCTGAAATGTCACTAAATATCAAAAATCACCGAGTTGGCAACAGTGAGGTCACTATTGTTAACTGCAAACATAACCTGATGGGCCTGGCGTTAATCAAACCTCTCGTCTCACCAGAGAGTAAAATAGGACAACAGCTGATTTTTAGACCAAGGTAGATAAGATCGGCTTCACATGTATGAATCGGCCGATCTCCCAAAATTAAAGGAAATTGGCGGCGACAGTGCACCCCTACTGAGGGTGAAAGAGCTTTGTGGTGTAAATACAGATTTCCTTCTACAATCTGTTGTTCCGGTTTGCCACCCAATATTTCTTTAGATTCTTCTTCTGATCCTAACTTGTTCTGCTTTGCATGCAAACGTTGCAGTGTTTTCTCAAGCAACAATGGTGTTTGTTTGGCAAGAATTAAGAAAAAGAAAAAAAATAATAAAGAAATCTTTATACCCAAGAGCTATAAAATCCGAGTAAACCAATGAGTTTTTTTGCTTGTGGATTACTCACAGGTAAAAAATGAGAAATGGTTGCATTTTCTGTTTGCATCATGCTAGGAGAAAAAGTCTGTAATGGCTGTTGTGTACCAACAAAAAAAAAGATAATCTCTTAAACTACTTAACTGAAAAGAAACATCTTTTGGAACTACATTTTATAGTTGTTTGCAACATCAGAATACATTTGCAGATTGGTCAGTGATCAGTTCAAAGTACTGCTTTCAGATTGAGAAAAGTCAAATCAAACGCTTGTTTGCCCGCTTGCAAACTTCAGTCTTCACCACCACTCACTAGCAGACGTTTAGTGCCGACTCACTCTTCCACTGACCACAACCAGAACCGGCGTTCTAGTTGTGGGGTAAGATGTTGCATAAAATAAAAACAAATAATAATACAGTGTGTCCCCATCTTTGGTGTTTGCCAAAACCATGAAACTTGAAGCTTCGTCTAAATCCGTCTCAATCACTCATTAGGAAATCGGTGAGCCAGATGTGCAACATGTGGAAATAACTTGTTTTTAAGTTTACTTCTGACATGCTTAAAAAATTAATTGCATATTTATGTTAAGTCTTGTAAAGTATATATTACTACTACTATTGTTATTGTTACT